CGCGGTCGCTCTCCCCAGATGCCAGCCTGTAACAACAGCGCAGACAAAAATAATTAAAGCAAGTCTTTGGGGTTTGCGAGGCATCGCAGCTTGTCCAGTTCACACCGTCACGTGGCAAAGGAGCCCCTCGCATTGATGGCTTGTAGGAGATTACAGTAATCATTACCAGTCTAGGCTAGTCTGAAATGATGCAATATTTGCCCCATGACAAAGAAACTTTCCTTAAGGCGGACAAGATTTATAGCCAGTGGGCCTTTTGATTCAACAATTGACCAGGAAGAAAAAAAGAATTAAAATTCCCTAAGGGAGTCTCATTTTCTATTCCGTGAAGGACTGGAAGGTGCAGCACAGAAAGAAAAACAGTAGAATCGGTGACAATCCAGCCCTGGTGGGAAATGCTAAGGAAAGGATTCATTACCGGGAACAAACAGAAATTCCTGCGGCTAAAGAAAAGCAGACCACAGAGAGATTTTTGCTCCGGGCTGCAGAATTTTTGCCCTTAATTCAGTCTGTTCTATATAAAGCACGGATGGCAATTCACACTATCTAGCAGAAATGGTGGCCGTGATGGCAAACCTGTGGCATACGTGCCACAGGTGGCCCATGGAGCCATATTGGTGGGCACACAATTGTACTAGCTCAGCTGCAGCGCGCATATGCGTGCCAGCCAGCTGATTTTTGGGTCTTCTGGGCCCACTGGAAGTCAGCAAACAGGCCGTTTCCGGCCTCCAGGGTAGTGAGGAAGGCTGTTTTTGCCTTCCCTAGGCTCCAAGAAAGACCCTGGAGCCTGGGGAGGGTGAAAAATGGGCCTACAGGGCCCACCGTGCCATTGTGTGCCAAAAGCAAGGGAAGTGTGTGACCCCCCCCCACGCTCCCACGCTTTTGGCACGCGACGGCAAGGTTAGCCCTCACTTGTGTAGGGTCTCCTGCTTGGGCAGGGGGTTGGACTAGATAACCTACAAGGTCCCTTCCAACTCTGTTAATCTGTTAACAGCAACCAAACAGAGCTGGGCGTCGAGAGACAGCGGAGGGAGAAAGCTACTTTTAAAAACAGCAACTGAACAAGATTCTAAATTTCAGGAATAAAGTTCAAGATTGGAGAATGGAAGTTATTTGCGGGAGGATCAAAATGTACTTCCACATTATAGGCTTCAAATTCTCCAGAAACTCCTAAATATGTCTGCGCTTGTCTCCTTCAAGGGCAGAGAAAAGAGGAAGAACCTATTTTACCCCCCAACCCACTTGGCAAAAACTTGACAGAAACTTTTCACAATGAAATAATACCGCACAAATCCATTATGAAATCTATCGCAGTTGCTGGACAATTGCCTTATTTTATTAACAATACATTTCACCTTTTATTGCTTTCGGATTCCTTTCTCAATAGAAGCCACAAAACCACAAACGTTCATGCGTCACGCTAAGCCACAAACTAATTCACAAATCGTGACATCCGACACGAAAAACAAATCGTACATTCGATTTGGATTGAAAAATCCAGTCCTTGCATCTGTTTGCAGGTAATCCTCGACTTACAACTGTTTAGTGACCGTTCGAAGTTACAGCGGCACTGAAAAGAGGGACTTAACGACTGTTTTTCACACTTGCAACCAATGCAGCATGCCCATAGTCACGTGATCAACATTTGGACCCTTGGCAACTCGTATTTATGACGGTTGCAGTGTCCTGTGGGTCACATGAGACCTTCTGACAAGCAAACTCAATAGGGAAGCCAGATTCACTTCACAACTTTGTTACTAACTTAACACCTGCAGCCATTCAACTTAACAATTGTGGCAACAACAACAACAAAAAAGTTGTAAAATGGGGCAAAACTCACTTAACAAATGTCTCGCTTAGCAACAGAAATTTTGGGCTCAAATTGTGGCCGTGAAGTTAAGGATTAATTGAATTTAGCAGCTCCAGTTCATTTGGGTGAAAAAGAAATCTAGCAAAAATAACCGGGCCAAATCAAAATTTACGTAAGTTTCTCTCTTGGGGATCCTTCACGTTTCCTTCCTTGTACAGATCTAAATTCGTATTATCTCTCATTTGTTTTCTTTACCCTCTATGACAGAGGGGGCAGTGTGTGCACATGTGGGTATGTTTATGAGAGAGAAAGAGATTAGTGTGTTTCTCTCCATAAACAAGTTTGGAGATATATATATATATACACAGAGGAGTGCTGCCATTTCAGCACTTGGTGAGGGGAAAATTCAGCTCTAAGGGGGACACTGCAGCGCCTGCTGTGGGAATTTTTGATTCTGCAAGGTCAAGGTGATGAGATAGCCTACTTAGGTAGTACTATGCAAGATGTTTTCTCAGATTGGACACAGCTGGCCTTAATAATTGGAGAGAGAGAGAGAGAAACAGAGAGGGAGGGAGAGAAGCGAGAGGGAGAGAAAGAGAAGAGGGAGGGAAAAAGGAGAGAAAGAGGAAAGAGCGAAAGAAGAGAGAAAAAGAGGAAGGATAAAGAAGAGAGGAGGGAGAGAGAGAGGGGGGAGAGAGAGAAATGATGGAGAGAAAGAAAAGAGAAAGAGGAAAGGGAGAAAGAAGAGAGAGGGGGAGAGAAAGAGAGGAAGGATAGAGAAGAGAGGAGGGAGAGAGAAAAGGGAGAGAGGGAAGGTAGTGAGACTCCCAATTTGCCTGTGCCTTAAGAGCCCTTCCTTGCAAAAGGGGGAAAAGTCATAGAACTCCATGGGTGCTTTCAAAGGAGCTCTTTTCTATACATTCAATCCTCTTCTCCCTTTCTTTCCTTTCCTGCAAAGAGGGTGGGTGAGTGGGGAACAGATTCATCTGTGTGTGTGTGTGTGTGTGTGTGTGTGTGTGTGTGTGTGTGTGTGTTGCCTTTAGGGACTCCCTGGTGTGCCTTTGAACTTGAACTCCTCCTCCTCATCTGTTTCCTGCAAAAGGGGGGGGGGGACGGGACACACAACTTCCACAGAGTCTACTATTTTGGAGTAGTTGCACCAGTAGAGACTAAACCAATTTCGTTATATACATGATGTACAATGACAATAAAGGCTATAATAATAATAATAATATTTTAAAAAGATACTTGGTTGATACCTAGGACGCTGGCAGCAGCCCGTATCAACCATTAGCACCAGTCAATGGTACTTGTGATGCATTTTTGAATGTTCAGTTGACTAAGTTTCATGTTTAATGAATAAAAGAATAATAATAATAAATAACATTTTTGAATGTTCAGTTGACTGAGTTTCATGTTTAATGAATAAAATAATAATAATAATAATAATATTTTTAAATGTTCAGTTGACTGTTTCACGTTTAATGAATAAAAGAATAATAATAAAAAATAACATTTTTCAATGTTCAGTTGACTGAGTTTCATGTTTAATGAAAAGAGATGATAATAATAAAAAATAACATTTTTAAATGTTCAGTTGACTGAGTTTCATGCTTAATGAATAAAAGAATAATAATAGTAATAATAATAACATTTTTAAATGTTGAGTTGACTGAGTTTCATGTTTAATGAAAAGAGATAATAATAATAATAATAAATAACATTTTTGAATGTTCAGTTGACTGAGTTTCATGTTTAATGAAAAAAGATGATAATAATAATAATAATAAATAACATTTTTAAATGTTCAATTGACTGAGTTTCATGTTTAATGAATAAAAGAATAATAATAGTAATAATAACATTTTTAAACGTTCAGTTGACTGAGTTTCATGTTTAATGAAGAAAAGAGATAATAATAATAATAATAATAATAATAATAATAATAATAATAATAATAATAATAATAAATAACATTTTAAAATGTTCAGTTGACTGAGTTTTTAATGAAGAAAATAAATAATAATATTTTCCCTGCACTTGACACACACATTCCCCATCCCTTTCCTGCAAAAAAAAGGGGGGGGGATGGGGGAGCTTGGCCTCAATGGGGGTGCAAAGGGAGCCCTGAAAAAGAGGAGTGGGGGGTGGGGGGGTGTTTCCACTCCCAAGACAGCCTCCCCCCCTCCCTCCCTCTTGGGGGGGGCAAACCAAACTGAGGGGGGGAGTTTTCTTCCCCCTCTTTCTTGCCTCCCCCCCTTCCCCCATTCTCTATGAAGACACGTGAATGCAGCCCCGTGGGGAGGGGGGGTTAACCCGGGTTTGAGGTGTGTGTGTGGAATAACCTCCATGAGGGGAAAGCTTCTCTGAGGTAAAAAAAAGGGGGGGGGAAAGACCCTCATTTGGGGGAGGGGGAAAGCGAGGAAGCCCCCTCCCCTCAGGTGTTTTTTTGCCCACCCACCCCTTGCCTCACCTCTCCCTCCGGGTCCTCGCGTGGGCAGCCGCCGGCCCAACCCCGCTGCCATGGGCCCGCCCGCAGGCTCGGCCGTCGTCGCCACACTTTCTCTCCCGCCGGCAACAGGGCCCGGCCCCTTCTTCAGCGCTCCTTCCGGTGCGGCAGGCCCCGCCCACGGCACGGCTTCCGCCCCCCCTCTCCCCCCCCCCCCCCAGGCGTGGGATTGGCCGCCTTGCTTTAACCCCGCCTTTTTTCCCTTTAATCGACTTGGATAGAAGGGCGTAGAGCTAGGAAATCTAAAGAGGAGGAGGGGGTTAAAACGCCAACTTCCGGGATTGTCTTCTTTTTTTTTTTTCCCCTCACACAAAATCCATAGATGTATGAAAAAGTCTAGACAAGGCCTTTTCATAAACTGACGTCTACACAGCAGCCTTTTTTTTTTTTTTTAATTCCCCCAAATCGAGGCCTAGAGTCGAAAATTTTGTCCTCTATTTTTTGAAGCCACCCACCCATACACCAAGAGTGAAAGGGCTACTTCTTAAAAAAAACCGGAAACTACTTCTTTAAAAAACCGGAAACTCAGTCAGAGGGGAAAAAAAAAAAAAGAGGGGGGGGGGGGGGGAAAGGGACGCTCTTGCCTCTCCTCCTCTATGCTTCCTGAGCTTTTGGGAGGAGGAAGTGGCATAAACAGAGCCGGAAGTCCAGCAAAGCAGCATGTTTGCAGTGGAGAAGGAAGCCGGGAATCTTGCATGCTGAACTCTCTCTTGGGGAATTAATAATAATAATAATAATAATAATAATATTTTATTTTATTTTTTTTGAATGGGGGGAGCGATTCTAAGGACAGTCACCGTGTAAGCCTCGGTTGATCATCACTGCTTAATGTTTGCAATTGCAAAGGTAAGTTTATATTAATGTAGATAAAAGAAATAATGTGGATAAAAGAAAGGAATCACACAGAGTCAGATATATGGGCTCTGGAGGACCCTCCCTATCCACATTATTATAAGAGAGGAAAGTGCTTGTTGGAGATTACATTAACAAACAGTTAAACCTCATTAAGTGGTAATATATCTTCTGATGAGTCCTAGATGTCACGAAAGGACCGCCATATGGAAAACATCTGAGTGACCTCGCTGTGAATGACACAAAGACCTATATGTTACAAAGAGTTACTTAATCCAATAAATTTACCCGAGGGCAGTAGTAAATCTCCCATTAGCAACTCCGAGCACTTAAGAAAAGTTGTGTGGCTAAGATAATTTGATAAACTAAGATTAATGGTTTAAGTAATTAGATGAACATATTATCCAATGTGTGTAACCGTATAGGGAAAATCGGATGTATGATCTCATGTTAACCATATATGGAAAATGTATGATCTCACTGAATCCTTTGTCTTAGAAAGGTATAAAACCGTTGTATCAGAGTTCTCTCCTTGTTCAAAGCTTCAGGTACAAAACTGGCTCTGAACCTTGCGCAATAAAACTGGCTCTGGCTGACCCAGGAATGTTGTTTGGTCTCTCCACTCCACAACAATATTATATATATATATTATATATAGGGTTTATATATTAGTTTATATTTTGCAGAGCCAGCCTTGAAATTCATCATTGCAAATAGAGCATTTGGGTGATTCATCATGCATATATGTGGGTAGATGCATAATTTTGCATTTTGTTGCTTTATGTACTGTGTCTTGGAGGCGGAGACCCTTTGGAGAGGTTGGGTGCAAGGAGCTTCCATTTTAATGCATGCCGATTAGGGTGCATTCAAAAGTGGCAATAAAAGTTATTCTAAGTCTTAATCGCAAAGCCGAGCATCAGTGGTTCAGGATTGCAAATGAATTGCTTGTTATCATTCAGGATTGCCAACCTGACATTGGCAGTGCCCGCATCCAAGTGAAGCGTTTGCAAAGCCAGCCTTTGCAATTCAAGCCTTTGCAAAATTGAGTTTTGCCAGTTAGGCTTTCTATCTAGGGGGACAGAGCAAAAATAAATAAATAAAATTCAAATGGATGATCAGATCTCGATCTTATTTTAAGTTGACTCTGGGCGGGCGGACAAGTCATTTTTTACACGCTCGGATTATTGCCACAATTGAGCCCAAAATTTTATGTTGCTGAAGTGAGACAAGTTGTTAAGTGTTTTATGACCTTCCTTGTCACGCAGCTGTTCAGTGAATCGCTGCAGTTGTTAAATTGGGGGAACACGGTCGTTAAATGAATTTGGCTTCCCTGTTGATTCTGCTTGTCAGAAGGTCGCAAAAGTGGATCGGGGGACACTGCGGCCATCATAAATATGAGTCTGTTGGCGTCATAGCTTATGAATTTTGATCATGTGACCAAGTAGAGTGGTCGGTGTTTAAGTAATCTTTTAAATGAGCTTTTGATGTGTTGATATTTGTTTATCCTTTGCATATCAATTGGAAACTTGGCCTGACAAGGCTTGCAACATTTAAGCTCTTTTGTCTGCTTATCTTTCCATGAATTGGCCTTTTCCAAAGAGTTTCTGGGACAAACACCCTTCTTTCTGCCTCTGCAGGCATGTAAGCAGAGTTTCCAACTGCATTCAGACTAGGAAGGATGAAGTGTTTTTCCGGTGAGAGAAGTCTTATCAGGGTAACCTGGTTTACCCAATTATGGGACGGAGCCATACAGCTTCCCCTTTTGCCTTTCAGCCCCAATCCAGGGGGCTTCGCAGGCCGTCTATTTTGTGTTTAAATTTAACACTTAAGAAGACCTAGGGAGCCACCAATTAATTTAATACAAGTTCATTTAGTGACCAACGTTTCAATGGCACCAAAAAAGAGGGACTCAACGACCATTTTTTCACACGGACAACCATTGCAGCATTTCCATGGTGATCAAAATTCAGCTGCTTGGCCACTGACTTGTATTTATGACAGTTGCAGTGTCCCGGGGGTCACACGATCTCCTTTTGCAACCTTCTGACAAGCAAAGTCAATGGTGGGGAGGGCATATTCACTTAACAACAGTGTCACTAACTTTAACAGCTGCAGTGATTCGTTTAACAGCCGTGGCAAGAAAGGTGATGAAACAGAGCGAGATTCCCTAGGACTACCTGTAATTTATTTAATTTTTAACACTGTGTGAGTTTTAACCTACCTCTCTCCTTGCTTTTTAAAGAGAATGATGAACGAGGAAGCTATTTTCCTGGTAGAGGACACCCAACAGTCTAGCTATGAAAAGAAGAGAAAAAAATCACGGAAGCGCAGCCGAGAAAAACTCAGACAGTCAATTGTGTCCTCTGATCAGGCATCCTATTCGTCTCAGGATACCGACTCTGGGACTAGTCGGAAAAAACATAAGAAGAAAAAATCCAGTTCAGAAACCTCTGAAGCTTCCTGGGCCGTCCCCGAAACTCAGCAGAACGATGAGCCCGAAATAAATGATTTTGTGCCCAAGAAGAAGAAGAAAAAAAAGAAACACAGACTTAAACATGGCAGTGATGACGAGTGTTGGAGCCCATCAACTCCCCAAAAATCCAGTAAACTGTCTTCAAAAAAGGCTTTGGAAAATAGGGGATGACAGCGTTGTTGGTGATGAGTGTTGGAGCCCATCAACTTCCCAAAAATCCAGTAAACTGTCTTCAAAAAAGACTTTGGAAAATAGGGATGACAGCGTTGTTGGTGATGAGTGTTGGAGCCCATCAACTTCCCAAAAATCCAGTAAACTGTCTTCAAAAAAGACTTTGGAAAATAGGGATGACAGCGTTGTTGGTGATGAGTGTTGGAGCCCATCAACTTCCCAAAAATCCAGTAAACTGTCTTCAAAAAAGGCTTTGGAAAATAGGGATGACAGCGTTGTTGGTGATGAGTGTTGGAGCCCATCAACTTTCCAAAAATCCAGTAAACTGTCTTCAAAAAAGACTTTGGAAAATAGGGATGACAGCGTTGTTGGTGATGAGTGTTGGAGCCCATCAACTTCCCAAAAATCCAGTAAACTGTCTTCAAAAAAGGCTTTGGAAAATAGGGATGACAGCGTTGTTGGTGATGAGTGTTGGAGCCCATCAACTTTCCAAAAATCCAGTAAACTGACCTTCCGAAAGGCTTTGGAAAATGGAGGTGACAGTGTTGTTTGGCTTGAGTGTTGGAGCCCATCAACTTCCCAAAATCCAGTAAGCTGTCTTCAAAAAAGGCTTTGGAAAATAGGGATGACAGTGTTGTTATTGATGAGTGTTGGAGCCCATCAACTTCCCAAAAATCCAGTAAACTGTCTTCAAAAAAGAATTTGGAAAATAGGGATGACAGTGTTGTTGCTGATGAGTGTTGGAGCCCATCAACTTCCCAAAAATCCAGTAAACTGTCTTCAAAAAAGCTTTGGAAAATAGGGATGACAGTGTTGTTATTGATGAGTGTTGGAGACTATCAACACCCAAGAAATCCAGTATGCTACCTCTGAAGGAAAATGGAAGTGTGGTTGATAGTCATAGGTCATCTCACAAGAAGAAGAAAAGGAAACGAAGGGAAGGTGTCTATGTCCCTGATGGACCTGCGAAAGAGAAGGCTGAGGCCACAATGTCGCAGAGAGAAGATCAGATGGACCTTGACCAAACGATAGACACGCAGATGGATCTCTTTGCCTCCTCGCCTTTATCCTTTTCAGAGGGACCACAGGTGGACCTTCTCCCAAGGGATGGTCAAGAGGGAAGCTGTTGTCCCACCGCTGAGGATTCTGATGCTACTCACGTGGACCTGGAGATGGAAGGAACGTCAGGTGGAGACCATGAATGGAAGCAACCTGGATTACCGTCAAAATTGCCCACTTCGGAAGTTAACACCAAGTAAGCACTTCTAGTACTTCTTTAAATTGTCCTCATCTAGATTAGAAGAGATGTTAGAACTTTGAGATTTGGAAGGATGTCTTTGGGGAGTTTCTGGTGCGATGAAGAAGATGGTGGACCTTAGCTTCATCTGCCCCAGTCACGTTCAAGACAGTCTTCGTTTGCCCTTTTTTGAGTTTCCGCCACAAAATTGGGAGCAGACGTTCTTGCCTGCAGGTTTACGCTAAAAGAAGGGAATGGAGGGGAAGCAAAAAGGAGAAGGCAGGATGGGAGGCTAATTCTTAAATTAAGAGTTTGTCAGACCCGCCCCAACTCAGTCCTTTAGGCAAGGGAGATCCTCAACTCCAAGGTATACTTTACTAAAAGTCAAGTGGAGTACAGGATACAGCAAAGCCAGAACAGGACTTCTCCCGAAGGACTTTTTGCAACTAATTGGGACTCAGCTGTGAATGAACGTAATTCACAGCTGTTGCAATAAAAGAGGTTTTTGGGACTACTCGTGTGTTTTAATGAAGCCTAGGCCACAACAACCTTTAAATAAATAGCAATGCCCAATTTTGATCTCCCAACAGATTGGATCAATCCCGAACGGGTCGGAAACTCCGATCTTCACGCAAGCAGCCCCCTTCCAAAACATATTCTGTAGAGGAGGAAGAGGAGGAAGAGGAGGAGGAGGAGGAGGAGGAGGATGTATATGCTCGGGAAAAGGAACAACTGGAGAATGACAGAAAAGAACTAGAGGAATTTATCCCTCGGGCGAAGACTCTGTCGGATTCTGCAGTCAGGCAGCTGGCCACACGAGATCTACCCAGGTTTAGGGAGCTGAAGCAAAAAGGTGACCCGTTACCATTGTGAATGCAACAGTCAAAGTAACCCGGTTAGGAAAGGGAGCGAGGGAGATTGAATAAGAGAAGAGGAAAAATAGGAACTTCAGTCTGTAAAATGTGATGACTGGGAAATTCTGATTTAGCGGACTCTGATTTAGCGGACTTTGCGGGTGGAGGACCTGATATTTCCCTGGACAATTTAAATCAACTTAGCTCTTGTTAACATTGGCAATTCAGATCATAAATAACACTGAAATGAATCTCTCTCTTTTTTTTCTCTCTCTCTGTCTTTAAAAGTTTAAACATTAGAGTGTAAATAGTCTCTAGGCAAGATTGCGTGCATCCCAACGGTACCAAAATAATAGAATGTATTACTTAGGTCTTATTATAATACAGGTAATCCTCGACTTTAATGGCCAGAATGGAAATCAAAACGTACGTTGCTGAGTGAGACGTTTGTTAAGTGAGTTTTGCCCCATTTTTGCGACCTTTTTGTGCCACCGTTGTTAAGGGATCCACTGCCTTTGTTAAATGATAACGTGGTGGTTTAGCAAATCGAGTTCCCCCCGCTGACTTTGCTCGCCAGAAGGTCACGAAAGCCGATCACGTGACTCCCGGGGGACCGTCATAAATATGAATCCGTTGGCAGGCCTCTGAATTTTGGTGAGCGCAATTTTGGTCGTTAAGTGTGAAAAGTCCCTTTTTTCAGTGCCATTGTACGTTTGAACGGTCAGTAAATGAATTGTTGTAAGTCGAGGACTACTTGTATATAAGAAAAAAAAAATTTTTTTTTAAAGAAAAGAGAGCTGGCTGACGATAAAAACTAGCCTAAATTTTTTTCTAAATCGGACATTATTAAATTCTCCCGATTTCCATTTTGCTGTCTTGCCAGGCATGGCTGTGAAGTTCGGCGTCTTCTCCCAGGCGGAAAACAACTTATTGACGGAAAACGTCGAGGCGTTTTTGGAAGAAACCGGGATTGAGACGGCCGAAAAGCTCCTGTTCGCCCACCGGTTTCCAGAGGAACAAGCCGAAATCAAGAGGCTGAAATGCCGATACTCGTTTTGCGAAAGAATCTGTGAGTTTTTGCCGATTTCCTTCCCCATAGGCAGAAGGAACGTTCGTCCGAGATGTGCCCCCTTCGTATCACAGGTAGTCCTCGATTTACGGCTGCAGTCGAGAGGCCAACATTTTGGTTGCTAAGCGAGACAGCTGTTAAATGAGGGTTTTTTTCTCCTCCCCCCTTTTCTTGCCACAGTCGTTTTAAGGAAATCCCTGCAGTTGTTAAGTTAGTAAAACGGCATTTCTGGCTTCTCCGTTGACTTGGGTTGCCAGAAGGTCACAAAAAGGGGGTCACATGATTCCAGGGACATGGCAGCCGTCGTAAATACAAGTCATCTGGATTTGGGTGTGAAGAAAAAAAAATACTCAGTGCTGTTGTCCCAAAACTGCTTTATTTTTCCCCAAGAACCAACTGGACTTTCTGTTTTTTTTTCTTTGAAGAGGTTTCGCTTCTCATCCGAGAAGCTTCTTCCGCTCTGAAGAAGGGAGAGCCGAAGAAGCTTCTCGGATGAGAAGCGAAACGTCTTCAAAGAAAAAGTCCAGTTTTGTTCTTGAAAAAAAAAAAATTAATAAGCAAGGACCTTTGGGATGACCACGACCAGATGGATGACTCAGAATCTCCATAGACTTTTCAGTGCTGTGGTAACTTTAGCAACCGGTCACTAAATGAACGGTTGTAAGTCGAGGACTACCCTACAATAATTACAAAGATGTAATTCTGTGTTTTGTTTGCTCAGGTTATTTGTACGAGTTCTAACACTTCCTGTCCTTTTGTCCACAGCTCAGGGCATCGCTCGGCCCTGGAGGCTCGTTTATTATCGAGCCCGGAAAATGTTTGATCCTCAGAATTATAACGGACGGTAAGGAGGAGGAAAAAATAAAATAAAATCTTGTTCTTTAGCAGAAGTCCAATTTTCTGTAGGACGTAGAAAGACGAGAGCCAGCCTAGAACTAAGGAGAAAATTTCCTGACCCTGAGAACAATTGCAGACAGTCCTCGACTTAGAGCCATTCGTTTAGTGACCGTTTCAAAGTTACAGCGGCACTGACAAAGGGGATGTGACGGCTTTACACGCTTACAAAAAGACTCCAGCGCCTTTCCGTCAGTAATCGGCACCCGGATGGAGTATAGATTAAACTCCCAAGATTCACATCAGGCGAACAAGCAAGTAAGCCACACAAGAAACGGCCAAAGAGCCGCCGGCAAACAGCCCAACGGAAGAATTTCTAAGACCGCCCCAACCCACACAGACACGGAAAGGCACCAGGATATAAACTGACGACAAACTGCACTCCTTACTAGCACTGATGATGTTACCTAGTTGGGTAATGAAACGTCTGCAAGAACAAGCTTAGAGAGCACCAAGAACCCCACAATCTCCTCCTTCTCCTCCTCCTCCTCTTCCTCTTCCTCCTCCCAAACCCCACTCCCTTCTAGCACTGATGATGTTCCCTAGCTGGGTCATGAGACGTCCATAAGGAAACAACCCAGCTCAGAGATCACCAAGGACCCCAGAATCTTCTCTTCCTCTTCCTCCTCCCAAACCCCACTCCCTTCCAGCACTGATGATGTTCCCTAGCTGGGTCATGAGACGTCCGTAAGGAAACAACCCAGCTCAGAGATCACCAAGGGCCCCTCATTTCAACTCTGAGCTACAATTCTCCTTTATTAATATATTATATAATATTATATTATATTAAAATATATTAATATGTAAATTTTAATCTGTTTTTAAATTATTGGGGTGTTTTAATCTGTCTGGGCCAAAATGATTTAATTTGATTTTATCTGGTTTTTTAAATTTTGTGTATTTATGTATTTTATTGCTTGGCTGTTCACCGCCCTGAGTCCTTCGGGAGTAGGGCGGTATACAAATCAAATAAACTAAACTAAACTATAGATTTCTTTTTAAAGCCAAGGTCATCTCAAGGCAGAGCTCAATGGCTTTAACTCCCCTAACGTCTTTTTTTTAGGTATACAAAGAAAGAAGAGAAAAAGCTCTTTAAGTATCACGCCCTGTATGGGAATAAGTGGAAAAAAATCTCGGAGCTTATGAACCGAAGCAGCCATTCCATCGCCTTAAAATATGCGCAGATGATCGAGGGTAGGTTGATAGCTCTTTTCCCCCCCCCCTTCCCTTTCCTCCAACCCCTCTTCTGAACTCCAAATTCTCTGCACAGGGAGTCCTCGATTTACAACGATTCATTTAGTGGCCGTACAAAGTTACAACAGCACTGGGGAAAAGGATTTAAATTTGGTTTTAAATTATTGGGGTTTTAAATTTGTTCAGCCAAATTTATTTAATTCGTTTTATTTTATTTTAAATTCTGTATTGATATGTTTTATTCTATGGCTGTTCGCCGCCCTGAGTCCTTCGGGAGTAGGGCGGTATATAAATTCAATAATAATAAAAAAAAAAAAAATAGCGACTCAGGAGAGTTTTTCACAACCGTTGTAACCATCCCCGATAGTCACGTGATTAAAATTCGGAGGCTTGGCAACTGGCATGTACTTACGACGGTTGCAGCGTCCCAGGGTGTGTGTGTGGGTGAGACGTGATTCCTCTTTTGCGATTATTCGGACAAGCCGAGTCGATGGGGAAGCCAGGGTTCACTTCACGACTGGGCGACTAGCTTAACGACGGCAGCCGTTCACTTAAACAAATCGTAAAACGGGGCAAAAGACCCTGATCGACAGTCTCGCTTAGCCACGAGAAAGGTTGGGCCCGACGGTCGTAAATCGAGGACTACCTGCGCCCTTGATTGGTTCTTGACAATATAAAGAGTTCATCCCAGTAGGCTTTTCATTAAAATCATGAGTCGGATCATTCCAAATCATCATCATCTTTTAATGACCCCCGTAATCCCTTGCGGGGTGGCGTCTGGGCAATTGAATGGAAATGAGTGTTTACTGGCCGGATACCTTTCCTGTCGCCGATGCGGAGTTTTTTAGTCCAGCAGATATATTCTCATTGTGCGCACAAAGAGAAATATCCGCCTCTACCTAGGATCAAACTTGCAGCCTCCTGATTATGAGGCGAGAGCTCCGCCTCTAGGCCACCGCGCCACTCCAGTCAGATTTTTTCCAAATGACGGCCTCTTAATCTCCACTGAGAATATCTCCGTGATACTTGTGGTTGCCCCAATCTTATCCTGACAACCGTCCTCTGTCTTTCTCTTGCTTTCTTGCGTGTGTCCAAATACCTGCGCAGATTCCAACCTTGGCCCTTGGACAGAAGAAGAGACTTCTAGACTCCTTCAGGCGCTCAAAGACATCCTGAAGACGAAAGTGAGGGGCTTGGATTCGGCCTTGGAGGACAGGGACAGCAAGGGTGCCCTCATCCTGCTGCGAGAAAACCTCTACAAGGACATCGGCTGGATGAAAGTGGCAGCCCAGGTGGAGACACGTAGTTGGCGGCAGTGCAAAAAGAAATGGTGAGGTTTTACAGACGTGAGTAATAAATCAGTGTAACGGGAGCGTCGCGTCTGGCCCCGATATCAGTTCGCGCTTACTACTGCTTGTGATAACTTGCATTTTAATTTAATTTAATTCATTCAGTTTTCTTCCTTTTTTTTTAAAGGATGTCGATCCTAACGAAGAAAATGATGGGGAAATCGCCCTTCTGCGGACTGAGCAACTTACAGTTTAAGATCGACCTCATCGAAAGGTGTGAAAAGAGCTTAGCGCTGTATTTCTTGATATTTTTATTTAAAGCGAACGATTTTGTGTTTTCAAGCAAGGGCGTATGGAATAGGGGTCGGCAACCCGCAGCTCTGGAGCCGCATGTGGCTCTTTCATCCCTCTGCTTGCGGCTCCTTGTCACCGGTTAGCTCCACAATTGATAGGGCTTTCAGTTAGGACAGGTAGAGGAAAAAGGACGCCGCGCTCGGAGGAGACGCTACGGTGGGGGAACCGGACTTCCGGTCGGCTCCAGAATTGAACGGGGGAGGGGGGGCGGCTTCCGGTTAGGATCTTTGTGGCTCTTTGAGTGTTTAAGGTTGCCGACCCCTGGTTTAGACAGACGGACGATTGGAGATACGCCATTAAATGCTTACGATAACGTTAATGGAAGAGAAAAGTAGGAGATGGGCGGATAGCCATTCCGTCTCGGATAACCCTTTTTTTAAGTTTTGAAGTATTAATAAAGGCTTATTTTGCGAATTTCAGATTGTACGAATTGAACGTTGCAGACACCAATGAAATAGACTGGGAGCGCATCGCTGGCGTTATCGGGTAAATAGAATAAATCTCAAGGAATCTGTATAAGCCTAGATAAAATAATTTAAAAAAAAAAAAAAAAAGACAAGATAACATTTGACAATTGGTGGCGGATTGTCAGTAGGTAGTTAAGTTTGCCGAATTTTGCAGACCGTATAGCCAAATTTAGCCCAATGTGGAGCGAGACCACAGGTAGTCCTCGACTTATGACCACAATTAAGCCCAAAATTTCCATCGCTGAGCGAGACATTTCTCCAGTGAATTGTCATTGTCCCCGTCCCCCTGTTTATGACCTTCCTTGCCACCGTTGTTAAGTGGGTCACTGCAGTCGATCCGTTAGTTAACCCGGTTGTTAAGTGAATCTGGCTTCCCTGCTGTCGGATGGTCGCAGAAGTGGATCATGTGACACACACACACACACACAGAGCAACAGTCATAAGTATGAACCAGTTGCTAAGTGCCCGGATTTTGATCACACGATCACAGGGAGGCAGCGAAGGTCGTAACTGCGAAAAATGGTCATTGGTCGCATTTTTCAGTGCCGTTCGAATGGTCACTGAATGAATTGTTGTAAGTCGAAGACTACCTGTACATTGGACTAATCGGAGAACGGCAATTGTAAGTAAAATAAGGATGTCTGTTTCTCAGGTATTTGATCAGGTAAGGAGTTATAAGGTGGGTCTCTTAGAAACCTGGAGACTGGGAGTTCTAGTCCTGCCTTAGGCATGAGAATTGGCTGACTGAGTTTGGGCCAATCACCAGGAGACTGGGAGTTCTAGTCTTGTCTTAGGCGTGAAAGTTGACTGGGGGATTTTGGGCCAACTCACCAGGAGAGGGTGAGTTCTAGTATCAAATTAAAGCATGAAAGTTGGCTGGGTGACTTTGGCCCAATCACTAGGAGATGGTGAGTTCTAGTCCTGAGGAAAAGGAGGAGCAGGAAGGAATATTAGCGATGCTGGCCACCTGGACTTATTTGTTAAAAAAAAAAAAAGTGAGATATAAATAAATCTTCAAACAGTCACTCAAGAATGGATATAAGTGAAGGGCTACCTGGAATCGCTTCTTGGGAAACTCTGAAAATTGCAATCCATCCCACCAGGAAAGGATCATGGCTGAAATTTTTTCTTCTTCTTTTCGTCCATCTGCTGGCCTCCTTGTGCCTTTTCTCAGCCTTTCTCATTCTCTCCTCCCAGAAACGTTCCTCCGTATTACGTCCAAAGCAGATATCACCAACTCAAGTCATTATATGTTCCTTTCTGGTATGAGAAGACTTTCCCAGGTGAGTTTCTTTGGATCCTGTTGTCAATTCGCAAAGCGTCCCAGGCCTGGTCTCATAGGGGGGGGGATGGGAAACTGGTGAAACTGCACAGCAGCCAAAAAAAAAAAAAAAGGCACATTCCATGCTTATCTCCCTCAAGGCTGTATCCCAAGGTTACCTACAGCAGCCGAAGGGGAGTGACCTCTACAACCCGGGAAATCGCTCCGTTGGGAATGTGATTGATGACGCACTCTTGGGGCAGGGGGGAACAGGGTCATGATTGGAGCGTAAATTACGTAGAGTCAGAGCTGGCTTCACCTCTGAACGTGTGGACATGAAGCTCCTAATAACTGGATTTCTTTTGAAGCTTGGCTCATGATTGGCATCCATCGGAACCCCAACACCTGTCCTTAATTCCTGTCGGCCTCACAAAAGAAATTCGATGGGTGAACAGAAATTTCCTCTTTCTGTCTTCTGCCGGCTAGCAGTTGTGCTTGCGGGATGGTTTATTCACGTATCTGTGTAAACATTCAAGGCCCAGTGGCTAAAATGTGGCCGAGAGATTCGAGGTGACACATTCCAGATCCTCGTTTTCTTCTTGTATTTGGGATTTTATGGAAACTATAGTTCTTACGCGGGAAAAACAAGTGGTTTGGGGGGAAGGTGGTCCTCTCTCCAGAATCCTCATCCCTCCTTCGGAGATCCTCCACCGCCGTTGACCATAATGTCCTTTTCTTCCCTTAGAAATTATCGACTACCTGTTTGAAGAGACGCTGCCCATCTTCAAGGAAACCCTCATGAAGCTGGCCCAAAGACAGAGGAATACGCAGGAGGAAAACACGCAGGAGGAAAAGCGCTGTAAAAAGTCCTTCCGGTTCGACGACATTTTCCAAGATATGCTGGAAGATGAGCTGTTAGACAGCAGCGACGGAGAAACCGGAGAACCAAGTCAGGCCGATGACGGGGATCCTACCCAGTCCTTTCACAAACAATAGGTAGCAGAAGATGGGAACTTCCTGGCTATTGCAGAATGGGAAAAGACCGCCGGGGATTCTCTTTGGCTTCCTGCCTTTTTATTTTTAGAGAGAAAAATAATATATAAATCTATTCGGCCTTTTTGTGGGTGCTGCTGCTGCTGCTTAGAGGTGTTTAGATTCGAATGTTGGGTTCTACAGAAGGTGAAAACAATTTTTTTTAATTATTTTTTTTTTGGCTCACGGTAGATTCTCCATTGCTGGCAAATGGATTTGCAACACATGGCACATCCCAAACGGGGGGAGGGGGGGATGGGCTAGAGCAGCTAGAGATATTCAGACATTGGAAAAGGGATGTTTTCTGACCCAGCTCCCCAAACATGACAATCCCTCTGTAGTTGAAGCAATGATCCCTCTTATTAGGAGCGCCAGCAGCCCTGGCAAAAAGTCACCTCACGCTAACAAGTCTCTCCCGCAGGGGAGATGAATAGTTGTCTGCTACTTCTATTCAGCTCCGCCCTCTACCTTTTATCCCCAGAGCTAGGGTGGGGCTTCGCTAGCAGCGACTCTTCCGTCCCAAGGACCGGCCCATAGATTTCCACTGCTCTCCTCTCCTCTGCCTTCTGTGCAGCTGCACGTCAGGCACTGGACCCAGCTGTTCCTCCTCCTCCTCCTCATCAGCCACCTCCAGACCTGGGGGCTGTTGACTCTCCATCTGAGGGCTGACAGACGGCCCAGGCTCCGCCTCTGTCTCTCTCTCCCTCTGCCAGCTCCATTCCCTCTTCCCCCTCGGAGCTCTCAGGTTGCCTTGATGCCGACCCTGATTCCTCCCCTAATTCGACTGTTGGAGTGGCCGGCGGCTGATAGGCCACAACAGGAAGTCTCAGGGACCTCAAATGATGTAAGCAGCTTCTCTCGATCCAGAGAGATGCCAGTTGCTGCTCTCCCAGTTTCTGTTAGCGACCGCCTTTGTGCCAAACTCGCGCATTTTACCTTAATCCTTAACTCTCCTTAGAGCAGGGGTGTCAAACTCAAGACCTTGGGGGCCGGATCCAGCCGATGGGGTGCTTAGAACTGGCCTGCGGTGCCTCTGCCAGCGAGAACGGAGCTCGGGAGAGCCGCACACGGCCATCGCGAGCTCTGTTTTCGGCTGCGACGGCCTCCTGCAGCTCCCTCTGCCAATGAAAACGGAGCTCGGGTTAGGGTTCAGGGGCCTGTTTTCACTGGTAGAGTGCTCGGGCCACCACAGGACCCCTGGCACGAGTGACGTCAAGCTGACCACCCCCACCCCCGAGGTCAAACACAACCCTAATGCGGCCCTCCATGAAATCGAATTTGATACTCCTTCCTTGGAGGAACGTTGGAGTGTCTTGCATTCACCCGCCATTTTTTTTTCCCGCCCAAGTGCCAAACTTCCCGGTCTTCCTTAAAGAGCCACCTTTCCGATTGCCCAATCGGGTAGGATTTTAAACTTGTCTTTTTTAAATGAGATTTTGAACCGTTAAAATATACACATTTTGAACGGAACGCTGGCTTTTCCTAGACAGCCACCCAGAGATTTCACGGCTGGTTCCAAGGCCACAGACGAACAAATGTTTAGTTTTTTTTTTCCCCTCAGACGACAAACTTACCATTTTTGGGCTGGGGATGAGAAATGTTTCAGGACCAACACACCCATCCCATCCCAGAAGAGATCCCACAGCCATTTTGTCTGGAACGGGATAGGATCTCTGGCTTGAGGGGAAGGTTGGACTAGAACAGGTGTCGGCAACCTTTGGCTCCAGAGCCGCATGCGGCTCTTTGGGCCCTCTGCTGTGGCTCCCTGTCAGGTGACCCCACCACTGGCTGGCCCCGCCCCCTCGCCCTCCCAGTCAGAGACAGATACAGAGAGAGAGGGAGAGAGAGACATAGTGAGATACGGGGGGCGGTGGGTGAAGTGGGAAGGAGGGAGAGAGATGTCAAAAGGTTTTTGTGGTTCCCGGTCGTTTTTAACAAGCAGTTCTCTGCCCTAATGACTGGCTTGGTAGGCGTGGCTAGGGAGGTCATGTGACTAGTAGAAGTGAGTGACGTCGAGTTGGCCACGCCCACCCAGGTTTTGTGGCTCCCGGTGTTTTCTTTTCTGTGGGAAACAGGTCCAAATGGCTCTTTTGAGTGTTTAAGGTTGCCGACCCCTGGACTACAAGACCTCCCAAGGTCCGACTCCGTTAATTCTAAATCTTGGACATTCCTTGTCTTGCCTCAATTAAATTCTATGTCCAGAACCAGCTGGAGGAGGGATTAAAATCCCGAATTTCGCATGTTTGAAAGCCGAAGCGATCCTCGTTTCCAGAAAAAGGCTAAAATGGAAACGATCTCCCTGTCTTCCTCGTTTGGGACTCTCTCTTGAAAACAGAGAGGGGTCTTTTTTTTTTTTTTTTTTAGGTTCTTCTGATGGTGCCTTAAAACAAAAAAGTCGCTACGTTTTTTTAAGATCTCCGCGCAGGGAAGGGCTCTTAATTTAGACTTTCGTCGAGTTCCTGCTCAGAAAGTAGGAAAGAAGTGATGCTAAAATTGCACAAGGCAAATGGGGTCCTTTCCAAGGTTGACTCTTTTTTTTTTTTCTCCCCGTTTTTTGTCTTTTTGAATTTATAAAGGACTTCGTTTTATTTTATCAAAAGGGTTGTGTGTGTGGTTTTTTTTTTTTCTGGTGGGCTCAAACTATTTGTACATGGGGTTTTCATTAAAATTCTTTTTTTTAAAAAAAAAATAAAATCTGCCTTGAAACAGAGTCTCATCTTCGATCCTTTCTCATTTTCTTGGTGAATTCCTCCGGAGCTCTGGTACCCAGGGGCTTCTTAATAGCCCCAAACTGCAGATCAAAAAATAAAATAAAATAAAATGGGTAGCCCTGCTATTTTCCGATTATATTAAGGACTAGCTGGACGCCCGTGCTTCACTACAAAACTATGTGCTTGATAAATTGACACTTGCAGCCTGAAACTGAATGTAGAATGTGTAGCATCAGAGTCTGTTAATATAATGCAACTGGCAGTTGGAACAGAGTGGGAAGGGGAGCGGAATGTCCCAGCCTGCAGCATCCATCGGTATTCATCTGGTTAGCATCCTGTCGGTGTGTGAGAGAGTTGAGGGGTGTTTGGAAACTCAAACGGTATTTGCTGTGTGAGCAAGGTGGCAGGGTGACTGCGCCAATCACCAGGAGACTGGGAGTTCTAGTCCTGCCTTAGGCGTGAAAGCCGTCTGGTTGATTTTGGACCAATCACCAGGAGACAGCGAGTTCTAGTCCTGCCTTAGGCGTGAAAGCTGGTGGGGTGACTGCGCCAATCACCAGGAGACGGCGAGTTCTAGTCCTGCCTTAGGCGTGAAAGCACCTGGTTGATTTTGGACCAATCACCAGGAGACGGCGAGTTCTAGTCCTGCCCAACCAACCAATCTCACAGGTTTGTTGCATTTGGTTGGGGAAAAGAGAACGAGGAAGGAGCATTAGATTTGCTCCCCACTTTGCCTTCCAAAACAACAAACGGGGCATCCACATTTATTTATTTATTTATTGCTTTTAATTATTATTATTTATTTATTTTTTGCTTTTAATTTATATGCCGCCCTTCTCCGGAGATTCAGGGCGGCTTACAATGCATTAACCAATTATATACTTAATTTACTTAGATAAGGTTGATGTTACTTTCCCCATGTTCTTTTGAAATTATATTAGTATTTTGGTCTGTGACCGCAAATAAAAGTTATATATATACATATATACTTAAATAAGGCGCCACCCCATTTAGAAAAAGTGCAAACTCGATTAAGTAGAGCTACTCCTCATCATGCAAGGGGGGAAAAAAAAGGAAGGACAGTACGTTCTAATCATTGCATGCTTTTTCCCCCCCCCCAAAAAAGGAAGGGCACCCCAGATAGACAAGCTGGCCTCTTGCTCCAAAGCAAGCGAGGCAAATCCAGAGTCAATTCTATTTACAAGCCTTGCGATTGGCTGGCAATGCTGGTAGCCAAGATGCTTTTGTGCATTTTCAGTTGGATGGAGGTTGCTATCAGAAGTTTGTTAGCATTCTGGTTGCCATAACAACCAGCCTCTCCATTCCTTGGGGAGGGGGGGAGTCTGGATCCGAAGGACATGATGCAACTAAATTTGTGGACCGGATGAATTTTCCCAACTGTCTGTCTCTCCCTTCGAAGGGGTCCTGCCAGGCTCAGACGTGGGGTCGGTCTCCCTTCTCTCTGCCCCCCCATATCAGTCCTTGCCAGGCCCCCCTCCTCTCCCCGTAAGTGGTACATTCCTCAGGAGTTGGGACCCAGGAGCATCTCTCTGGCTGGCAAAGGAGACACCTGGAGAGCAGCAGGGCATGGCTGCCGTGGCCGCCCCCACCGGGATCAAGAATGGCCCCCCCAAAGTGGGCCTACCCCGCCGGCGCAGCGTCAGCCAGATCTGCCCACCGCCCCGGCGCCCCATGACCCTGGCGGAGCTGTACCCAGGCTGCGAGAATGAGCGGCTCGGGGTGGCCAGAGAAAGCATGCTGCAAAACCATCTCATTGCCAAGGTGAGAGAAGGAAGGAAGGAAAAAGAGAGGAAAAGAGGAAGGATAGAAGGAAGGACATGAGGGAGGGAGGAAAGAAAAAGAGGAAAGAAGGAAAGGAAAAAAGAAGTAGAGGAAAGAAGGAAGGACATAGGGGAGGAAGGAAAGAAAAAGAGGAAGGAACGAAAGAAGGAAAGAAAGAAAAAGAGGAAAGAAGGAAAGACATAGGAGAGTAAGGAAAGAAAAAGGAAGGAAGGAAGGAAGGAAAGGAAAGAAAAAGAAAAGAAGGAAGGACATAGGGGAGGAAGGAGAGAAAAAGAGGAAGGAAGGAAGGAAGGAGTCCAACAATTCTATAATTTTGAGATGCATAATTTTGAGATGAAGGAAAAAGAAGGGAGGGAGGGAGGAAAGGAAGGAAGGGGAGGGGAGGGGAGGGAAGGGAAGGGAAGGAAGGAAGGAAGGAAGGAAGGAAGGAAGGAAGGAAGGAAGGAAGGAAGGAGATGGGGAGAGAGGGAGGAAGGGAAGGGAAGGATGAGGAAAGAAGGCAAAGGGAGGGAAGGGAAGAACGAAAGGAAGGAGAATTAGAAAGCGGGGAAAAAGGAAGATGAGATGCATGGGAAGAAGGAAATGCGAAGGGAGAGAGAATGAGAAAGGGAGAAGGAGGGAGGGAGGAAGGAAGGAAGGAAGGAGAAGGGATGGAGGAAGGAAGGAAGGGGAAGGAGGGATGAGGAAAGAAGGAAAGAGGGATAAAGGAAAGAAGGAAAAGGGAGGGAAGAGAAGAGAAGAAGGGAAGGAAGGAAGGAGAATTAGAAAGGGAAAAGAAGGAAGGTGAGACTCATGGAAAGAAGGAAATACGAAGGAAGGGAGGAAGGGGGAGGGAGGAAGGAAGGAGAAGAGGGGGAGGGAGGGAAAAAGGAAGGAACAGGAGGGATGAGGAAAGAAAACAAAGGGAGGGGAGGAGAGGGAAGAAGGAAAGGAAGAAGAATTAGAAAGGAGAAAAGAAGGAAGGTGAGACGCACGGGAAGAAGGAACCGTGAAGGAAGGGAGGGAGGGAGAAAGAAAGGGAGAAGGAGGGAGGGAGGGAAGGAAGGAGAAGGGAGGAAGGAAGGAAGGGGAGGGATGAGGAAAGAAGGAAAGAGGAATGAAGGAAAGAAGGAAAAGGGAGGGAAGGGAAGAAGGGAAGGAAGGAAGGAGAATTAGAAAGGGGAAGAGAAGGAAGGGGAGACTCATGGGAAGAAGGAAATACGAAGGAAGGGAGGGAGGGAGAAGGAGAAAGGGAGAAGGGAGGGAGGAAGGACTAAGGAAACTGTATCGCTCAGGATGCTGCCCTCTCACCAAACGACACATTCTCCCAAATTGTCATAATTGTGTTTTTAAGACGCGGCGCGCGTTACGAGTTCTAAAGCTGGGGAACAGAGGCCTTCCAATCCGAGGCAGTCTCTGCCCTCCCATGCCCTCTAGCCAGCATTAATGGGATGATGGGAGAGGTAGTCCCCAAGGCCCAACGGGAGCAAAACAATCAACTTTAAAAAGTTGCAATGAATTTTCAGCCCCAGATTAAAACGCAAACTTTGAAAGGGGTGGATGGGATTTGATTCCCTTGTTTGAACACTAGAGGGCAGCACAGAATGCTGCAATCTTTTGCCTGCTGCTTGGAACAGCTGATCCCAACCTCTTCTGTAGACCCTGTTGGGACTACAGCTCCCAGAATTCCCAGCAGGATGCTCATGGGGAATTCTGGGTACCATGCTCCCACATGCCTTTGGAAGGCAGAAGTGGGGAAAAAGTGCCTTGACACAGCGAAGGGAAGATGGGTGGGTGGGTTTTTTTGGAGGCAGGTTGTGCCAAATTCTGTAACAATTGTCTTTGACCGAATCATTGGTATTGGAGAATGTTAATAGTAAAGGCAGATTTAAGAAAGAGAAAAGAGCAAAGAAAAAGGACGGATAGGTTAAAAAGAAAGAAAAAGAAGGGAAAAAGGACTAACTTTACAATAGTTACACAAAAATTTATCACCTCTCCCTCTTGAAAGATTACACCATAATTCTTCCCATATTTTACCTTTCTAATCATCAAAACTGCTATACATAGTACTGTAAGGGCACGTTACACATGGAGTTGCAGGAATCTTAGTTCTTAAAGCATACTGTTCAGGTAGTCCTCCACTTACGACCACAACCGAGCCCAACATTTCCGTCGCTAAGCGAGACATTTATTAAGTGAGTTTTGCCCCATTTTTCGACCTTTCTCGCCACGGTTGTTAAGTGAATCTGGCTTCCCTGTGGACATCGTTAGAAGGTCGTAAAAGGGGGATCACGTGACCCGGGGACACGGCCACCGTCATAAATACGAATCGATTGCCAAGCGTCTGGATTTTGATCGTGGGATCATGGGAATGCTGCAACGGTTATAAGTGTGAAAAACGGTCATCCTAAGTCACTTTTTTCAGTGCCGTAGTAACTCTGAACGGGAATTGAAATTCGGCGGCTGTTATAAAACATATTATGACGTAAACATGGTAAAACAGTTTACGACATCATTTGAAAATAAAATATTTCCTCTTAAAAACATGATCCACAACGGCGCGCGTGGGGGGGGGGTTTCCAATTTCCCTTAAAAGTGAATCAGACAGGCAAATTCTCACTTAGGGAAAGGTACAATTTCATTTAGGACATCCTTTCTTTCTAGGGAAAAAAAATAGAGCTTTTGATGGGAATTTCTCCCACGAAAAATGTCACCTATGGAGTGAAAAATCTCGTTTTGGGAATCCTTAAAACGCATGCAGTATAATATGTTGTTGCACTTTTCTTCTCTGGCCACGAGAGGGCAGGCTCTCCCCACTTTTCTTTTTCTAACCAATTTTTTTTTACTGGGGGATCTTTCAGATAGAAGTTGCTTCAAACGGGAGGGGGCGTTTTTTTGGGGGGGGGGACAACCCCCCCCCCCCACCTTTGGCTTTTGATTGATGGGCCAGGGGCTCCTCTTCCAAAAGGAGAATTGGGCCAAGAGAAAAGGCTAGGAGAAGACAGTATTTTAATCAACTTTGTTGGGTGTTTGCCTTGTGTTCAGTAATCTCATTTCCTCCTGAGAAATTAAAATATAAGTTATTGCACTAACTGGAGTCTTCAGGGGCTGCAGGGGGGGGAGCAATCTTCTAAATATTTATTCGGGGTGGGGGGTGGGGGTAGCTAAAAGCGAAGACTTCCTAAAATCAAGCTATTATATGGACACATCTATAATATCCATCGGTGTTGGGGAATAATATATACTGTTCCATAAATATTCAGGCAAGGGGGCTTGGGTGGAAAAAAAAAAGGTTTAAGAATTATTCTGAACTTCCTGATCTAGTGTATAGCTTTGGAATTGGTTACATTTGCTTTAAATATTTTTCTTTTCTTTCTTTCTTTTTCTTTCTTTCTTTTCTTTCCCTTTTTGTCTCTAAT